CGAAACACATTCAAACAAAAACTCAAACATACGGTTTGGCTTACAAAACTAAATAAACATCATGCGATAATTGTTTAAAACTGAAAAATTATACATCTTAACGCCTCCAGACTACTGCTTTACTATTTCTACATTTTCCTCCTGCGAAGCGACAGGCCAGACTCAATGTTGGACCTCATCCAGCCGTCCCGCCTGAGGAGGCAGGCTGTCATCCGCTTGGGCGGCGCGCAGACTGCCAGCGCTGGGCCAGGGCCGTCGGCGGTCTTTGCACAGGGATCTGGGTTTTTAGGGGGCTGGGCACTGCGAGTGCTTCCTCCTCCACCTCCTCCTCCTCCTCCGCCTGCTCCTCCTCCTCCTTGCTCTTGGTTGGCCTCTGGGAAACGCGTTGCAGAGAGCTCTCCGACACGTACACGGTCGAAGCACGGCCACGCGAACGTGGGTGAAGAACATGAGCCCCATCGCCAAAGGCCGAGGCCTCGTGGAGATATCCCTCAAGAAAAACACCCACAATTAGAATACCCAAAAACATCCCAATCCGCCGATCCGGCGTGTGAGTTTCAAGGAGTCTCAGCTACAGCCTCGAGGCTGAGCCTCAGCCTCTGGGGGGGTTGCCGGGGTGGCTCTGCCGGGGAAGGGGGGGTGGGGGGGGGGGTGCGAGTTTCGGGCGGATGCGTTTTTTGACACCCCTCACAAGGATCGTGGCCTCCGAGGGGGTTCCGAACTCGAGTACCACCCCTCCCGCACCAAGAGGCTCCGAGGAGGCCTCCAACAGGCCCCAAGGGGCGCAGAAGAGGCCCCCAAGAAGCCCCAAGAGGCTCCCAAGAGACCCCCAAGAGGCCCTCTAGTGGCCCCAAGAGGCCCACGAGGCCCCCAAGAAGCCCCAAGAGGCGCCCAAGAGGCCCCCAGAAGTCCCAGCCAACCACGAGATCCCAACCAGCATCCATGAGGCCTCTGACCCACCACCCACGCACGGTGGCGGGATAGGCCGACGGCCACTGGATCCGCCGCCCCCTGTGGTCTTGCCACAGGGGTGCACGGCGTGCTGGATGTTTCAGGTTTTGGTTTTGGTTCTTTTTCTAAAAGAACTCCCCAGTGGGCTTCGGCCCGTCCCGCCGGCCACCCGCAAGTTTCCGAAAATCCATCTGTCAATGCCTTTGTTGCCCCAACTTGGCCCAAGATGGCCTCCAAGACGGCCAAGATGGCCCAAGATGGCCTCCAAGATGCCTCCAAGACGGCCAAGATGGCCTCCAAGACGGGTAAGATGGCTCCAAGATGCACCCAAGACGGCCCAAGATGGCCTCAAGATGGTCTAAGACGGCCCAAAAGGCCCGCAAAAGGCCTCCAAGACGGCCCAAGAGCCCTCCAAGACGCCCTCCAGGAAGGCCCGAATAGGTTAAAATCATTGATTTTCCTTAGGTTTTTCAAGGATTTTGGCAGGTTCTTCTTTTCAGCTCTCCGACGGCCCAAGACGGCCCAAGAGGTCCCCAACATCGCCCCAACAGCACCCAAGAGGCCTCCAAGATGGCCCCATGACGGCCCAAGAGGCCCCCAAGAAGGCCCCAAGAGGGCCTCAAGACGGCCCAAGAGGCCTCCAAGACGCCCAAGATGGCCTCCAATACGGCCAAGATGGCCCAAGATGGCCTCCAAGATGCCTCCAAGACGGCCAAGATGGCCTCCAAGATGCCTCCAAGACGGCCAAGACTGGCCTCCCTAATGTACGGGTAAGTATGGCTCCAAATGCATCCCAAGTACTGTCCAAGATGGCCTCAAGATGGTCTAAGACGGCCCAAAAGGCCGGCAAAAGGCCTCCAAGACGGCCCAAGAGCCCTCCAAGACGTCCTCCAAGAAGGCCCGAAAGTGTCAAAATGGCCTCCAGACGGCCAAGATGACCTTCAGGATGCCCATGTGTTCCCCGAAGGCTTTCCGAACCGATTCGGGGAACACCTGGTCCGATAGCTTGGCAGGTCTGGCCTCAACGTTCGGCCACATAGGCGCTTCCGAAAAGGCAGGGGGCGGCGGTGATTCGCCGTAGGCGTCTTCGATCCGCCGCCCCCTGCTTGCAGGGGTGCACGGCGTGCTGGTCGTTTCAGGTTTTGGTTTTGGTTCTTTTTCTAAAAGAACTCCCCAATGGGCTTCGGCCCGTCCCGCCGGCCACCCGCAAATTTCCGAAAATCCGTCTGTCAATGCCCAAAAACGGCCGTTTCGCTCGGGACATCCTCAAAAAATCGCGAAGATGGCCCAAGATGGCCTCCAAGTCCGCCCGAGATGGTCCAAGACGGCCTCCAAGACGGCCCAAGAGAGTCCAAGACGGCCCAAGACGGCCCAAGAGGCCCCCCAGAGGCCTCCCAGACGGCCCAAGAGGCCTCCAAGAGGTCCTCCAGGAGAGTCCGAAGAGGCCAAAATCATTGATTTTCCATTGGTTTTTGAAGGATTTTGGCATTTGCGCCTTTTCGGCTCTCCGACGGCTCAAGACGGCCCAAGAAGCCCCCAAGATCGCCCAAGAGGCCCCCAAGAGAGCCCCATGATGGCCCAAGTGGCCTCCAAGATGGCCCCTAGAGGGCCCCAAGAGGGCCCAAGAGGCCTCCAACACGCCCAAGATGGCCTCCCAGACGCCCAAGATGGCCTCCAAGACGGCCCTGGAGCATTCCAAGCGGGCCCCAAGTCGGCCCATAGAGGCCCCCCAAACGGCTTCCGACGGCTTCAGACGTGCCAGGAACCCACCAAGATGGCCGAAGTTGGCTCGAAGCTGGCCCGAGACGGCCCAAAAAGCCCCAAAGATCGCCCAAAGCTTGCCCAAGAGGCCTCCAAGACGGCCAAGATGACCTTCAAGATGCCCACGTGTTCCCCGAAGGCTTTCCAAACCGATTCGGGGAACACGTGGTCCGATAGCTTGGCAGGTCTGGCCTCAACGTTCGGCCACATAGGCGCTTCCAAAAAGGCAGGGGGCGGCGGTGATTCGCCGTAGGCGTCTTCGATAAATGCTGAGTGAGAGGAGGGGGGGGAAAAAAAGAGGAGGGACGAAGGCGAAGAAGGATCACATCAGTCGGAGCGCCCCGGATCGGCGGCACTGGCCGAAGGCCACTACAATATACGGTGCTTGCAAGTGTGATTAGAGGAATGACGAATTCCATCAAAATACACAAACATGCTAGCCAGCCTTAACCTCTAACAGTGTACTTCTAGAAATAGATGAGGTGCATTCTATGTGGTGCAATCGGGGCGGAGCAAAATATGTGGAGCTACCTACGTGGTGCAATATATGATATGCAGTCGATGTGGCACCATGCATCTATTTATATGTGTGTTGTGCATTCGATGTGGTGCAACATATGTTTTCCAACCTATGCGGTTAATTGCGTGTGGTGCAACCTATGTGGTGCAAAATATGTTGTTCATTCCAGGTGGTGCAATCTATGTGGTGCAACTGGTATGATGCAACCTGAACAAAATTGCAACACCTTGCAACGCGATGCGAAGCAATGCAAAGCAATGCAAATCAATGAAAGCAAGGCAGTGCAAAGCAACGCAGATAAAGCAATGCAAAACAATGCAAGTCAAAGCGTACCAACGCTCAGACGACGGGCGACGACGAAGCGGCGACGGCGACAACATAGCCGCCAGACCGGCAACCCCCCTCCCCAGCCTCCCCAGTCTCCTAGAACAACAAATAGGAAACCCTCAGTGGGAGCACTGCTTGGGGAGTAAGCGTTCGGGGTTCCGCGCGGCCTTCACTGATCGGCGCTGGAGCCCCCTGGCCCCCTGGCGGCGCCTCCGGGGGAGCCCCTGGCAGGCTCCGCGTCACAAGAAGGGGGGTCCAACGCCGATCCAAGAAATTCGCGCGGCTCCCCTAAAGTTGATATTGATGCGAATTGTCGCTTGTCGAACCAAGTATGTACGCAGGCTCAATCAGCATCGAATCGGGAAATCGGGTCGCATCAGAGCGTACGTCGGATCGGGCTGCATCGAATCGAAATCGGAATCGAATCGAATCGGGTGCGACCAGACACGCAACCACGCTGTGCAAATGTCGAGCCGCATCGGACCGCCGAGAAACCGAAATCGGATCGAAATCGACTCAGGTGAACTCGACATCGCATCGGACTGATCCGATCGACATGGGCCCTGTCTATGTATACCTGAAAGATCTGCCACCGTGCCTGTGGCGCGTACTAAGCAAGCAAGCAAACCACTGGTCCACCCCAAAGGCATGCACGAGGACGAGATTTAGAGCAACAAACAAACACATGAAATCACAATTGTGGACCGAGTGGACTCTTGGGTCGGTAGTGGACCCCTCTCCCAACGACCTTTCTAGGAGCGCGCCAGGAGCGGCGATGGAGGCGCCGCCAATGGTTGGGAATCCGAGAAATCCGCGCCGACCACAGAACGTTTCTGCTTGTCGTTGTTTGGTCGACTAAGCCTGCAGACGCTGAACATGTGATGAACAAAATCTACAAGTCTCTGCACAGTGCCAGCCTCCGCACGCGCTGGTTGCCGCTTCCTTCTCGGCAATTTCGCGCGGCCCTCCTCCTCACTCGATTGCAATACCGCTCGGAACCGGGGCAGGAGAGGGAGGAGGAGAAGAGAAAGGAGGGGGGAAGGGGGCAACACAAAATGACAGACTGTTACGTTGTATGTACATCTCTGACGTGCCTGTCGCCTTCGACAAGAGCTTCGGTGGGAAGCTGTCCACCAGAGGCGATCCCTGCAGCGGCTAATCTCGTGGCTTGGCGTCCAGAAATCTCAAGTTATGGTAGAGGGCTGTAGGACGATCGACCCACTGCTGGACAGCATGATTTTCAAGGGTGCACTCTGGGGACCAATGCTGCGGAATGCACTTCACGTTGACTCTGCATAGATCGACGGCCCGAAAACTATTTACTGGACGCGACCTTGCTAGTGATTCAAAAACTCTCGGGATCAAGAGATCGGAAGCCCGCCAAGACGACGCCCAGCAGGAATCAACAGACAACTTGTCCAAACCAGATCCGTACGGCAATTCATTTGAACAGTTCGGGGATGAACTTGACACACTTGCTACCGCGGCAGACGCAGTGACACGCCTCGCGGGACATTGCCAGCGGACGCTGAAGGCGACTTGATAGCCTCGCAGGTTCGAAGCATAGGCCACGTGAATCCGTCCAATTGTTGGTGGTGTTGTTGCTCATGCGTTTTTTGTTGTTTGTTGTTTGTTGTCGTCGTCCAACGCGCGACGCTTCCCGCGACCCACCCGCGATCCACCCGCGACTCAACCGCGATCCACCCGCGATCCACTCGCGACACACCCCCGACCCCCCCATCGAACCACCCGCGACCCACCCTCGACCCACCCCGCGACCCGCTCGCGACCCTCCCGCGACACACCCGCGACCCACCCGCGACCCACCCACGACCTGGCCCGCGACCCTCCCGCGACCCACCCACGACCCACCCGCTACCCCCACACCTTGCTTTAACGAAAGAATCGTCGCCTGCGGCGGGCGGACTCGTTGTTAAAAAATACAAATTGAGCACCTTCGACGGGCTTCTTCAGAGACTCGCAGACTGCCGACATCCCCGCCGCCCCCTCACTCTTATCCGCAACTACAGGCTGCCACGCAACTACAGTTTATATACGTACGCGAGCCAAGGGCAGAAACAGCACGAAGCAAAAGGCACCAATGTGCCCCGGTGGCTCCACTTCATCCAGAGGGCCGCCTCCGCGAGCCAGGCCTGGGTGTCCACGATGGACACCTCGCGTGGCTGCTTCTGCACACAGCCAGCAGAGCATTTCGGCAGCGCCAGAGAAGAAACCAGACTCGAGAACCGCGTGACGACCCTCTGTCGGGGGCGCGCAAACATGGATTGGCGATCCATGGACTTGGCGCGCAGTCGCCAAATCCATGGATCCCCTCCCCCAAATGTGGCCGGTGCCAACTCGCTCGGCGTCGGAAATCCCATGGAAACAGGACCAGTCGCTAATCCACGCCCCCTTGATCCGTGTTTGCGATCGCCTGAGCCTGCACGTGCGAACTGGGCCCGGCTGCACAGTCACACATGATCCACCGACGACGCCAAATCTTCGGAGATCTCCCCGCGCGGAGACTCGAGGCCCCCAGAAGCACCGCGGAGCCTCGGGCGGCTCCTGCCACCCCTTTCGCCAGCTGCCTTCGAGGGCGACCTGCCTTAGGTCGGGCATGTCCGCCTGCAGGCGGATCTTGGAGGCGAACTCTGCAAATTACAAAAAAGAATGCTCGCAAATAGTCGAACATAGTAGAAAACTCGTCCCCTGACTATTCTTCTGCTATTTCTGAATACTCCTCCTGTAGAGGGACACGCCCGACTTACGACTTATCATGAAGCGAACCCGGTCCCGAGGGGAATGGGTGCTGGACCCCGAGGACTTCTCCCGAGGACCACAAGCTCGTTCTGGGTTCTTGTCTGGCGGTCCCAGAGCACGGAGAGAACCTCCAGAGCTCGAAAAACGAAACAACACCTGAAGCACCCGTCCTCTCAGGCCCGCTTCGTGGTTCAATGTGGACGCCCGAAATCGGCACGGAAACGGTGGGCACAGTGCCCAACAGCAAGTGTTGCCCCGAAGGACACGACCCGCGGCGACGCCGACGGCGAATCCAGTTCAAAATGGACAACAACTGCTGTCGGTTTTTGTACCGAAGGGGCCCTGGGACACACAAATAAATACACACGAATAGCAGGATTCCCCATATTTTCCAATATTTACGATGCTTTTTGTCTTCCCCCCCATTTCCCATCGACGATGAATTGTGTCTGTGTGCTTTTTTCCCCTCCTGATTTTTTCTGTACCCAGGTCGGTCGTCCCGATGCACGTCGAATACGAGAATGCGCACAGGGCGAAGCCGCCTCTGGAGCGACTGGCGCACACACTGCCAGGAGCAGGTGCCGATGCTCGGGGCCTATCATGGGCCGTGTGCCGGTGTTCCCTGTGGGGATCCCGCCTCGCGTTCGCGGGTGGGCATCGCTCGAAGCAGTCCAATTTGCCGTCAGAGCTATGTGACAAACACATTATGAAGGCAAGCATGTTTCCTGAAGACATTTTTTCTCATCGAAGACAAACTGCTATTGACATTTGATGCTTCCTGCCTTCAAAGAGCTCGTTGCCGACAAAGCATGCCCCTTCAACGAACAAGACACTGTGCCTTCACAAGGCCGTGCACGGCGACAGCAAAACCGACAACTGGCCGAACTGACAGCGAAACCGAAACCGACTGAAGTCGGCTGGCCGAAACCAGCCAAGAAGGGCGCAACGATGCGGCAACGCCAGACCAATCGGTGACGAGCCCCGGGGGGAAGAGAGAAGGGGCGGGCCTTCTCAGGAGGCTCGGAAATCCCTCCGCCGACTGAGGAGTTGTCTGAGCCTTCCCGAAGACGCAGAAAGCCTCTCGAGGCTTTCTAAGAGAAGCCCCGCCGCGTTCCGAGACGGCCTCCTCCTTCGCGCTTCCCCCCCCCCCCCTCGCTCGCCGCCGAGACAGCCGACCGAACCGAGCCGACCGAACGCAACCCGTCGGCGACGCAGCCGCACCGACCGAGCCGTGAAGGCCCCTTGCTGCAGGGGGGCCGGGCGCCTGCAGCGGCGTGGGGTTGCTGCTCGGCTGGGAGCCCGCGCTGGACTCGAGCGTGATCCCGCGCTCGGAGGTCAGGGCGGACGCGCCGCTGAGCCGCCCGGCCGCTCGGGGAGGGCCGCGGGAGTAACGGTTGTACGCGAGGCACCCAGACACCACGATGTTGGCAGAAGAATAACGGCACAGACATAAACCTTTGGTGCTCCGCGCGGATCTCTTGGATCTGCGCTGGACCCCCGTCCCTGGCGCGCGGAGCGCGCCAGGAGCGGCGCCGGGGGGGGCCCACCGCGGATGCAAGAGATCCGCGCGGAGCGCCAAAAGCTCATGTAGATGGCGTTTTTCTTCTTCGAGATGTAGGCGACGGTGGAGGCCGCGCCGTCCAGGAACACTTCCTGCCAGAGGCCGGTCGATCGCTGGCTGATCGGCCCAAGGGCCCAGGACACCAAGGCCCTCCTGTGCTGGGTGGGCCGATCTATCGGCGCTCGGGGGTCGATGCCTGCCCTCCCCTGGGCCTATCCCCCCTTGACGTTGCCCCTGACTCCTCACGGCCCGCCCCCAACCTCATCTGGGGCGCACAGAGACATACCAATCAATACTACATGTCCTCCTGGGAGGCGCGCGTCCGACCCGAAAATATAGCATACCCCTCTTGTGGTATGATACCGGAGAAACAAAAGCAATCATAATATTTCTAGGGCTGTAGGGCTATGGGGCTGTACGGTTATAGGGCCATAGGGCTAGGGCTATAGGACTACAGGGCTATAGCAACTTAAGGCTGTAGGGCTACAAGGCAATAAGGCTACAGGGCTATAGGCCTAGGGTTATAGGGCTATAGGGCGATTGGACTATAGGGCATAAGGACTATAGGGCTATAGGGGTATAGGGCTATAGGACTATAGGCTGAAGTGCTATAGGGCTATAGGGCTATATGTATATAGGGATATAGGGCTATAAAACTATAGGGCTATAGGGCGATAGAGCACCCGGGCACCCCGGGGCACCTCCGGGCACCCCTGGGCACCTTCGGGCACCCCCAGGCACCCGGGCACCCCCAGGCACCCGGGCACCCGGGCACCCCCGGGCACCCGGGCACCCGGGCGTGCGGCGAAAATCGGCGGCAAACCTAACCTGACCATATGAATCCGCTAGGATCCCTACAGAGGCAAGCTCTGATTGGGGAATATCGTTTCCCGAGCGGTGTGGCCAGAAAGCCCCCGCCAAGACGCAAATACTAGAATATGTCTCGGTGCGCGCGTCGCCCCTGGGAGGGCGACGCACACACCGTATTCGTATGTTCGGGTGACGCCGACCTCTCCCTCCTCTCGCTGGGCCAAGGGGACCGGGCTTGGGCGGGCGGGGACACTGCCGCCAGGCAGGACGGGGAGGAGGGGGGTTGGAGGGAGTGGTAAAGAAGGGAGCGGGCGGCGGGTGCAGGGATGGGGGGGGGATGCGCCCCACTTGGGGCTGCCGTGGGCGATGGGTTCCTGCTGCGCCATGAACCGGTGGTCCGACATTGCCTGGCGAGCGCCCGTTTATTATGCTCATGCCAGCTGCACTCGTCAGGAGAAGCAAGAAGACGAGGGCTGGGGTCTTGGTACGGAGAGGGGCTGCTGTCAGAGGGGTCGGAAGTGAAACCTGCGAGCCTCAAATCGCCATCGGCGATGGGAGAAGAGGCGGGCGAGGAGGGGAGCAAGCAGTAGCAGGAGGATGATGTTGCTGAGCAGGAGCACGAGCTGGGAGGTATACACATACATGCATCGATGGACCCAACAGACACTGAACCCAAGCGCGAGCGCTTCGCGCGCTGAGGTTCTAGGGAGCCTAGACTTCAAATTCTCCTCCTCCTCCTCCTCCTCGTCCTCCTCCTCCTCTCTCGCAGCAGCCTCTGCTGTCCCCAATCCGAGCGCGCGCGCGCGCGCGCCGCCCGCCGCCGGCCCACGCGCACCCGGGGCCCCGCGGTAGCCACGATAGGGGGGGGGGGCGGGAGGGGAGGCCACCATCCAACCTATACTGGCATGCATCCAACTCCTCCTCCTCCTCCTCGTGGGCACCCAGGCCTCTTGACTCAGCGGCTCGGCCTCCGCCTCGGAGGCCGAAGCAAAACCCCGGGCGCCTCCCTCTCCGGGCAAAGGGAACTCTCCTCGGCGCTCTCCGTCCGCACGTGCGCCTCCCCGGGCGCTCTCGCCGCCACGGCTGGCTCCGCCTCGAAGTTCTGCCCAGAACGTACGCCCAATGGCGAGGAGAGCGGCCATGAGATCATCGCGCCGTGAGAGGAACAGACAACTCACGGCGCAGGGTCGTTGGCAGTTTTCGGCCCGAGTTCAATTCCGAGTTCCCTCCACGCTTTACCTTTTGGGGTGAAGCCTTCTCGCTTGCACGCGCAGCCTTGCTTTCAACATCTGGAGCATGAGCGTCTCCCTCTGGGGGCTGCTGGGCCCCGGGACGGTCAGTTGACGGCTCAGAATGAGAGGGCGGTCCTGGGGAAGAGGTCCAAGCCTCTGGGGAACCACGCTGCGAAATAAACACGACATCGAAAGAACACGAAGAGGTGAATAACCAGGTTGCCTAAGATTGGAGGAGAGTAGGAGGTGGGGGTGAAGAGGTGGAGGAGGACAACAACAGAGGTTGGCATGGCGGGCAGTAGGAGGAGCAGGCTGATAAAGCGAAGTATGATATTCAGACTTAGTGGAGGAGAGGGGGAGGAGGAGGAGGAGGAGGAGGAGGAGGAGGAGGAGGAGGAGGAGGACGACGACGAGGACGACGAGGATGACGAGGAGGAGGAGGAGGACGACGACCAGGAGGAACTATGAGCCGAGTCGAGGCGCCGACACATGTCCAGAAGGACGGCCATAAGAGAGCACGGCGGTTGAGCCAAAACCCAGGATGCACTTGGAATCCCTGTGACTCATGGGCGTGAAAACTCGCGGAGGAGAAGGGAGGGCGACGACGTCAACGACGACGACGAAGATCAAGAACCAAGCCAGTGTGGCGAAAGACTTCACTCCTGAAGACGCCGACCAAACGCCAACGCACACGCGTCAGCACGCACACGGAGAGGCGAAAGAGAGCGAGGAGCGAAACGACGCGAGGTACACTGATAAGTTGAGATATGCGTTCCTCTCTCCTCCTCCACTCCCTCTGCAGGGGAAACCAAAAGGCACCGATACCGCTACTCCCCCGAGCTCTCCCAGGGTGCGTTCTGACCAGGATCTCGAGGCAGATCCAGCGGTGGCGACGAGGGCCTCCAAGGAGGCCCAAGGAGGGGCAAACGGGGGAAGGGTAGAGGTATGGGTACCTTCTCCTCCTCTGATCTGCGCTCCTCCTCCTTCCTTCAAGTCTCCGGTCGGGCATGTCCTCCTACAGGCGGATTTTGGACGAAAAATGAAGAAATACCGAAAAATGCTCCCAAATGGTCGAGAATAATGAAAGAATCGTCCTCCACCGATTTCTGATTTCTTACCAATTCTGGAATACTCCTTCTGTAGAGGGACACGCCCGACTTACTTCAAGTCCCAACCGCCGCCCTCTGCCCTCCCCCCCCCCGCTTCTGCCGCCCCCGCCGCCCCCCGCCTCTCCGTCCCCTGGCCCCCAATCGCCCCCCCCGTCCGGAGAAGGAGAGGGAGAGGGAGAGGGAGGAGGACGAGGAGGAGGAGGAGGGAGGATAGGAGGAGAAGGAGGAGGAGGAGGAGGAGGAGGAGCAGGAGGAAGGAAGAGGAGGAGGGGCGGAGGCAGAGGACGGCGAGCAAGAGGACGGAAAGGGGCGATACGGGAATCGACGCGGAGGAGATGTGATCAGAAGAAGAAAAAGCCAGACAAACGTAAACTTCTGGCGCTCCGCGGGATTTCGTCGATCCGCGCTGGACCTCCCTCCCTCGCGCGCGGAGCGCGCTGGGGGCGGCGCCGGAGGCTCCGCCTGGGGGGAGGGCCATTACAAATCCAAAAAAAATCTGCGCGGAGCGCCAAAAGTTCATGTTTACGTGGTTTTTATGATTCTTCGACTGTTGCTGACCATCGAAGAGATGGTCGAGAAAGAGGATGGAGGATCAAGAAGAGGGAGGATCAAGGAGGGGAGGGGAAAGGTGGATACCGCCAGAGGGCGCTTGCCCGCAGGGGACGCCATGCGGGCACACTCCCACCCCTCGGCATCCTCCAAGCCCTCTTTTGCACTCCTCCCCGCCCGATGAAGGAGAGGCGGGCACCTCGTGGCAGATGTTCCAGAAGCATCCCACATTCAGATTAAGGAAGGCGTCCAGATCAGGATTGGCCCGGACCAGATACAGGTACATCTCCTGTGGGAACTCGAGAAAAGCCGACGCCGCTGCGCCCTGGGCCTCTCCCCGGGTACGTTCGGACCAACAGTTCGAAGCGAATCAAGCCGTGGCGGCGCGAGGGCCGCCCCAGCAGAAGGCACCCAAAACAAGCAACGGTGCACAGGCGGATAGAGGAGTAGGAAGCTATTAAAGGGGCCCCTGGACATACAAATAGATTCTGACACATAAAAATATTCCCCATATGTTCCAATATCTTTGGGGTTTTCGTCTCCCTCCCCACTTCCAATATATTCCCATATTTTCTGGAGAATCGACGTTTGAATGTTCCCTCCTGAGCTATGTGCACCCGCATGTATGCTTTACATCAGATCGGGGCCGTCTGGACCAAACATGTAGCCGGCATTAAAGCGAGAGCACGACCCCCGAATTGATTACATAATTATCAGGCGAAACTGCTGCCGGACCAGGCCGTCTGGGGCTCTTCGTCCCCCCTGTGGGACTCTTCGGTGTTTTGTTCCACTGGTAGAACCCTCTGGCGAAATGCCAGTAGGGTAAAACGAAAGAAAGATAGCGGTATCGGCACTTCTTTCATCTTCTGATCCTGATGCAAAGAAAAAATGACGGACTCTGGCATCTGCTGCAACACCGGGATGTCACCCTCGATGAGGATGCGGTCCCGTCTGCCGCCGTCGAGGTCGAAGAACGTCAGCATCCTCTGGCCGAGCTTGTGAGAGATGTGTTTGCTCCTGATAAACCTGGCCATGAACTAAAGTGAGGAAGCGTTAGGGCTAGGTCTGGCGTGCCCCCTACAGGCGGACTTGGGTGAAAAAAACACCCCAATAAGAATGATAATAATAATAATGAAACAAAATACAAACAAATCGTCCCCAGACTATGTTTTAACTATCTTGGAATATTCCCCCTGTAGAGGGACAGGCCCGAATTAACGTTAGGGGGCACCGAGGCCGACGCCCCTGCCGGATTCAGAAGCGCGGCTGTCCAAGACAAAACAGATGCCACACTAAAACTGCCGCTTCCAGGGCCTTCTGGCGTGGCGCCTTCGCCACAGATCGGTTTGCCACAAATCTTCTGAGAGGCACTCGGAGCTTGCTGAAAAGATCAGCTTGCTCCAAACAAATCCGGTTGCTGCACATAGCAACTGACAGATGGAGGCCACTCCTGAGAGATCTTCGTAAGAACGCTTAAGGGTTACGAAACCAAAGTACGGGGCTCATGAACCAAATCCGGCCGGAATAGGTCCAGGATCAAGCCGGACTCGGCCAGGTACAGCGCGAGCACCAGATGAAATGGGAGTATGCGGGAGTGGGCCGGATTTCGATCACGGATGAACCAGCGCCCACGCTGAATTCAACCTCCCAAGAAGTGTATCCTAAACAGAGAGGCTTCGCGGCAGCGGCGCTTCATGCTGACTCTGCTCTTCTGCTACTGGGACCCAGAGAGGGTCCTGGAGTGGCTTAGCACTGTGACAAACGCGCAAACCCCCTTTCCGCCAAAGCCCCTCGGACGCATCGAATGAGCAGAAGTCATCTTTGCACCACCGCCGTGCCAGGCCTGGACCAGCCTGGCCCCTGGCATGGTGCGTGCGCCGTCCTGGCTGGGCCAGGAGGTTCTGTGCACCATCCCGGGGCCCAGGAGGGCCCTGGCCTGGCACGGTGGCGGTGTATAGATTTAGGTCGGGCGTGTCCCCCTACACTGGACGAAGCATAAACGATACGCTAAAAATCCCACCAGTCTTCTGGGCGTAGGTGGTTTAGGGAGGGTCCTCTTCCAACCCCCTTCTTTCCCTTCGGGGAGGGGTTTACCCCTCCCCCTACCCCTTCCCCTAGACCTGGACGGGGGTGGTCGCGAGGAGTTAGAGCGTCTAAGATGGCCCAAGACGGCTCCAAGAGCGCCTCGGAGAAGTCAAGATGACCTCCAAGATGGCTCAATATAGCGCAAGATGCGTCAAGATGGCTCTCAAGATGCTCCAAGAAGCCCCAAGATCGCTCCAAGACGGCTCCAAGAGCCTCCGCGACTCCCAATGAGGCTTCCAGGAAGCCAGCATCTTTCAAAAACCTAAGAAAATCAATGATTTGTGCCTTCTCGCCTTTTCGCGTCCGATGGCCATCCGAGGCCTCAAGATGGCCCCAAGATGGCCCAGGAGGGCCCCAAGAGTGGCCCCAGAGAGGCCCACGACGGCTGCAAGAGCGCCCAAAAGCTCTCCAAAAGCACCCCAAGAGGGGTTTAGGACGCGATGTTTGGCGTTCTGAAAGGGCAGCGCAAATTAAGGACCCCCTCCTTCGTTGAGAGATCTTCTCCAAGTTGGCCCCAAGAGCGCCCCTCAAGCTCCCACGAGCGTCCCAAGAGGGCCCCCCAAAGCGCCAAGACGGCCCCAAGAGGCGCCCAAGACGCCTCCAATAGGCTCCCAAGAGACCCCCAAGAGGCCGCACGAGGATCCCCGAGGCACCGAAGATGCCCCCCAGATGCTCCAAGAGGCCTCCAAAACAACTCCCAAGAGACACCCTAGGAGGTTCTGATGTTCGTCATGTTGTTTGCATCCTCATCCTTATCCTCCTCCTTCTCCTTCCCCTCCTCCTTGTCCGCCTCCTCCTCCTCCTACTTTCCATTTACTTTTTCAGCCTACGCCTCCTCCTCCTCCTCCTTTCCTCTCCTCTCCCTCCCCCACATCCTCTTCCCCCTCCTCCTCCTCCTCCTCCTCCTCCTCCTCCTCCTCCTCGTCCACTTCCTCCTCCTCCGCCCTCCCCCTCGCGGCGAAATCAGCGACGACAGAGTCGACGACGAAGAAGACGAAGACGACGATGACGACGGCGGCAGCGGCGGCGGGAAAGCGGGGCGGAAGTCGGAGCAGCAGCAGCACCACAACCAGCAGCACAGCAACAGCAACAGCACCAATAGCAGCACCCGCACCGTTCGCGACCAGAGATCTCCCAATTCACCGTTGTTGCCCACGCTGTTTCACTATGCGCGTCTCCTCATCCCTTCTCCCGTCAGCTATCCTGGACTTCGTTTCTGGATGAGCTAGTGGAGATACGCGAAGTGTCAAGAATACTCAAACAATATACTCAAAACATCGTCCCCAGACTATGTTATGACTATGTTTGAACAGTCATCCTGTAGAGGGACGGGCCCGACTTACATATGGATACCTTCGTCGGATCGAGAACCTTAAAAGCCGCAGTCGGTCTTGCACTCGCGCGGAAGTGATGGCCTTCATCTGGTTCACCATGCTCGTCAGCGTGCTGAGGAACCCGGAGAAGAACAGCATGCCCAACATAACGACACCGACCGCAAACAGTCGTTCCATCGTGCTCTTCGGGGCGATGTTGTTGGTGGAGGGGGTGAACCTGGCGGTACAGTCAGGAATGATGGCGTGCCAGTGTAGACACGAACGCGGGTTGCAGCCGTGGGAGGCGGGGAGCAAAAAAGAGGGGACGGGGAGGATGGGAGCAGGTGGAAGGGTGAGGGATGGAGGAGGAGGGGAGGGGAGGAGGAGAGGGAGGAGAGGCGGGAGGGGGACGGGGGAGGGAGGAGGACGGAGATAGAGGGGGCGGTGAACAGGGGACCAGGAGGGGAAGGAGACGCGGGCGGAGGGACACAGGGAGTGGAAGGGGGGGGGGGGGAGAGACTGGGGGACATGGGTGGGCAAGGGGAAGGAGACCGCGGCACGGAGGGCAGGCCAAACGAACAAACGGCATGCACTGCCGCATCCACTGATCGGGCAGGGGGCGGCGCGGAAGGAGGGAGGCAACCGAGGGTGCGTGCGCGGGACCTGAGCGAGGGGCAGGGAACGTGCATGCTGGCGTTAGGTCGGGCATTTCCCCCTACAGGCGGATTTTGGACGAATCATGATAAAGTTGAAACGTGCTCAGAAACACCCAACAATAGTCAACACACATCGTCCCCATATTATTGTTGCACTGGTTCCGCCGTGAGGGCGGTGCAGCTCGCAGGTGGGAGCAGGCGGTCAAAGCATGGGCGGCGTGCTGAAGGCATCCGTTTCCGTGCGCAGTTTCACCCATTGCTCACGCGCTGTGGCCGGCGCAAGGCTTCTGGACTGGACTAGTTTTGAATATGCCTGCTGTAGACAAACATGCCCGACTTCATGCCGGCGGGAAATCTCAACCCACACGCGGAGGGAGGGCCAGGAGTCCACAGCGGCCCAGGCCAACAGAGATACCAATCACCACCGAGCGCCAAAATGGGGCCACGAGAAACGGTAGGGTTCGTCCCGGGCCCCAGGCCCTTCAGCATCCATCTCCAGCACGTGGGCGGCGAGGAAAGAAAGAGGACGAGCACCAAGGAAAGCAGGGGAGGACGTAGGTAACAAGTGAGGGATGTCAGCTTCTGGGGAAGAGGGAAAAAGGGAGACTTAAGAGACGAATGACAAGGGAGACACCGGCTGCACATTGAAGAGCAGCAAAGACAAAAATAAAACGTTGGAGCTGGCATCGTGGTTAGCCAAGCGGGGCGGGAAGCTCTGGCTGAGGCCAAACCAACCGAGGTTTCTAGAACCCAGAACTGAGTGATGCTCCAGTGCAAGGACATGGCATAGCTGTCCAAGAAGCCATTCGGGAGAACGTCGTTTTCTTCCACCCAACTTCCACCTTGGGGTGCATTTTCGAATTGGCGACAGACTGCATGAACGATTATGGTTTCGACATTGCAAAACAAAGAATACCCTTCCATCGCATGGGTTTGTACTTAACACACACGCACAACTTACAACTTCCCATCTAGCGTTTCGGTATGTTTTTAATGGCGACCTCTTCCCCAATGCGCAAACTCGCCGTGCAGGTTCAGCTCCCCGACCCCGAACCACGCACAGGCGATGTAGTGGCACATGAGAAGAAGTTGGACCGAAAGCCTAGAAATCCGGAAAATCAACACCACGTACTCCGATTGGCCGGTACTCACCCACGTCATCATGGATGCTGGAGATACTGTTTGTCACCTGTGCATGCGCGTACGTACGCACGCATGCGCCAAGAAGCAAGACGGGAAACACGCCCAAACAAACCGCCAACAAGACGCGCGGCATGCTGCTCGTAAGAGATAATCCCCGTGATACTCCTCAAGTACTGTTGATACAACGCGAAGTCCCAAAACTACTCTCGCTTCATCTCCATCATGCTTTCTCATGCTCCCCCCCTACCAAGACGGACTAGCCTTTCGTCCAAGATCGTGCTACAACAAATACATCGGCCAGTGCGGGTCTCTAGAGACGAAACTTCTTGTTTTGTTCTCACTTTGGAGTTTGTGCCTCCGCGCAGACATTACGACAAACCAGGCAGCAGTCCGTTTGCTCCCACGTGCTCAAACATGCGATTCCGCAGTGGGCGTCGCAATTCCCTGACAACATAGCATTACCTGCGAGGACCCCTCCAGTGCAACACCGACTGGGGAAATTGCCGCGCCAGACATACCAATCAATCGCATCAGTCTCCGCGGCCAATAGAAGTCGATGCATTGCCATTGCGGCCTTGCTACTTCCAACGCGAGAGAGTGTCGTGACGAAACGCGCGAGTCTGTTCCGCTAGCATCGCGGAATCAAAATCTGCCGTCGACTGCACGCCAGATCGAACTCACAACCGTATGGTACAAGACACCGTGGAATTGTGTTCGTGAGACTTGACACGATACAGTCAGGTAAGGAGCCTGTGGAGTCCGCCAGGACAGACTCGGGCATGCCTGTTACCACTCGGGTTCTCGTCGGCCCCAGCACGAACCCTGGCGCGCCGGCGGTGTTGCGGGAGGAGTTCGTCTGCGACGTTCCTCTTCCCTCCCCCTCTTCCCTTCCCTCTGCCCTTCCCTTCCCTCCTCGTGGTGGCGGGCGGGGCGAGCCGTTCAGTTTCCGGCGAAGACTGCCACGCCAGAGCACTGGCGCCGTCCCGTCTGCTCCAGTCGTGCGCTGAGGCCCGTGGGTCGAGCCGTGAGAAGCAGGAGGGCGCAGAGAGCAGGAGCAAGGCGATGTCCTTGCCACTTCTGAATGCGGAAGAGCCGCAAGAGACGCAACAGCCGCACCATTCGGAACGCGCGAGCCCCCGTGTGGAAGTCGAGCAGCAAAAACCCGAGGTCGAGGAGAAGCAGGTACACGTCGACGGCCATCCACGTCCTGGCGTATTGCAGGACGACGTGGCGCAATCGCATCTCGAGGTGGTTGTCGCGGGCGTACCTGAAAAACGGGAACACGGCATTGAGCATGTACTTGCAGCGGACCGCGCGGGTTTCTTCGGTCGGCGCTGGACGAGGACACGAGTTTCACACGAGGGCAACGTGTGCTCAAGACATGAAGAAGGGATGAAAAGCGATGGAAGGGCACACGGGTACAGTTCATTTGCAAGGTCGACCTACTTGTCTAACAACAGCTGGCAAGTCCGTCTGTGGAGACAACAGACAAAAACTGCGCACTGGAGATGCGGCAACCATGCTGAAAGAAAGGAAGGCGGGACATGTGGGACCATCAGGGCGACGACCCCTCGACTGCCCTGGCGCTCCTGCGAACCCCCTGGGCGCTTCGGACGTGCACAGGAGAACGCAGAAGCAGGGATAACCAATTCAAAAATACATTCATGCGTGTATATATATATAGTTATTTATTACACCAGAGAAAAACCCAATCAAGGGATGGTTTGAAATAGGATCGATAAAGAGATCGATGAAGAGATCGACCAAGAACCCTGGGACCCAGGAACCAGGAACCCACCGAAATCAGCCCGGAATCAATAACCAGGAACCTGGAACCTGGAACTGGGAACCTGGGAACCCAGCCGGCCACCAAAATCGGCGGGAAACTTTCGCCCCTTCAGTGCAAGCACTTATTGGGGAATATGCGTGCATACTGTTTGTTACTGTCTCGAATACGGGTCGCTCCCGATGGGGTGCGGGCAACGGTAACCGCTTGGGCGGATGGGGCTCGTCGGGGCGGGGGAGCGCGCTGCGATCGCCATGGCATGCGGCGCGCTCACCACCATGTGTAGGGCGGGGCCCACGCCCCCCCTACTTACAGTCGGGGCGTTGACCTGAGGAACCCTAAATAAGGAGCGAGGCCCTTTATTCTCATATAAATTGAACTTCGATCTCCCATGGGAAACCTCAGGAAAACTGGAGCCAAACTGTTGAATAATCAAAAGAACACCGAGCCCCTACACAACGAAAAGGGCTCCGTCTTCAGCGCCCCGACCATACGATCGTTACCGTTCACCGGAGGGGGGGGGCGGGTCCGAACAACGCCCGCTGCGGACCAGAGACTACCAAACTACCTCTAGGTCGGGCATGTCCCCCTACAGGGGGATTGTGGACGAAAGATAAAAACAAACACCCTAACACTACTCCCAACAAGAATCAAAACAAGTAAAAGAAATCGTCCCCAGACTATTCTTTACGCTGTTTGAAGATTCCTCCTTGTAAAGAGACAGGCCTGGCTGAAAACTATACTCTCCTCGCCATCATCTCTCCAATCGCTGCATGTGCCTCGAGCGCCCACCATTCCCGACATGTTGTCTGTCCAAAAGAACTGGAACTGCCCGGTCGATGATGGGGCGGAGCGCAGAGGGGGGCAGGTGGAGGGGGGAAGGCTTCTTGGAAGGGGGCTGCTTCCTAGAAGGCGCCGGCCTCACATGTATGCAGAAGGCTCGCGCCTTTTGAGAAACAGGGGTGCTCATAAGAAGCCCTCCCCCTCCCCATGCGCCCCTCTGCGCGTGGCCGAATTATGCGATCGTCAACCCGCACGGTAGCTTCCTCTCTTGGGACGATAATTGGAGCCTCTTGGACCGTTTTGAGCCGTTCGTGGCCCGACAAAGCAAGAACCCCAAAAACCTTGCAAGAAACCTAGCAAGACCAACGTTTGTTGCCAAAAGGGGCCCTCGCGGGGGCCCTCTCGAGGGCCCGTGGATCCGTCTCGAGGCTCTCTTGGATGCCTGTCCGTCAGACATTCCTTGCCCCCCCCTTTGAAGTGGACTCCGTGACGGGGCCGCTGCCGTACCCGAGGCGCCATGCCACACTGGACGGGCCACTGGACGGGCTCGGTGAGAAGACGACCCCACGGCCAGGCAGCCCCATGAAGACTCCGATGTGACCCCGAGGCGCTCCCTGAACGTCGTCGTCGTCGTCGTTGTCCTCCTCCTCCTCCTGCTCCTCCTCCTTCTCCTCCTCCTCCTCCCCCTCGGAGGAGGAGTTACCCATCGATCGGAAGAAGTAGGGAGGCGTTGAAAGTAGACTGGGTGTCCGCCCGCCCCCCAAGGAGGACGGAACAGGCGAAGCCACTCGGTCATTGAAGTAGGAAGGCGCCTGGAGTAGATTGGAATCTGGGGCTCCACAAATACATACTTTCAACGACCGATGGGTACCACGTTCGTCAAATGCTGTTAAAAAGTGTGGCAGAGGAGACTGTTACACAAACAGCACTGCAGCTGCGAATCCCACCAGCCATCTGGGCGTGAGTGGTCCAGGAGCTTGTTCTGCTACCCCCCTTGTTCCCCTTCGGCGATGGTTTCTTCCCCTCACCCTGCCCCGCCCCACCTGGGACTCTTGTCGCGAGGGGCTGAAGCGTCAATGATGGCCCAAGATTGCTCCAAGATGGTCCCAGAGAGCCCAAGATGGCATGCATGATCGCTCAAGATATCTCCACATGGCTCAATATAGCGTCTACCATGCCTCTAAGAGACTCCAAGACCGCTCCAAGGCGGCTCCAAGTGCCCTCCGAGCCTCACACGGAGGGCCCCAAGATACCAACATCTGTCCAGCATATGTGTTTTCGATGTCTGTTACCTTCTCGCCATTTCGCTCCGATGAGCTCTGAAGGCCTCTTGTCGGCCCCAAGATGGATCAACACGGTGTCATGATGGGACCAATAGGGACCGAAGACTGCCCCAAGAGCGCCCAACACTGCCCCGAAAACGCTCCTAGAGGGCCTCAAACCGTTCTTTGTAGGGCCTCCACGGTGCACAGTTTCCCCCGGGGCCGTAGGCGACCCCAGGAGATGGAGGAGGAGGAGGAGGAGGAGGAGGAGGAGGAGGAAGGAGGAGGAGGAGGAGGAGAAGGAGGAGGATGAGGCGGAGGAGGAGGAGGAGAGGAGGAGGAGGAGGAGGGAGGAGGAGGAGGAGGAGAAGGGGGAGATGGAGAGGAGGAGGAGGAGGAGGAAGAGGAGGAGGAGGGAGGAGGAGGAGGAGGAAAAGGAAGAGGAGGAGGAAGAGGAAGAGGAGGAGGAGGAGAAGGAGGAGGAGGAGGAGGAGGACGGGTCGCCTAAGCCCCTCGGAGAGGTCCTCCACTCTACGGGGGGGGATCGGAAGGCAAGCCCCGACATGCCAGACGGGCAGAGTCACAGATGCGGGAAGGGCAGAGCCGTGCACCCTCTGGGGCAATCCCAGCGAGCTTGAAGGGGCCCTGAGACACACAAATTCGCGGGCCCAACGGGCCAAGGGCGTGCTAAGATCTCTGGTAACTGGTTAACAATATTCTTAGTTCGCGCGCGCGGGGCCGCCCCTGGGGTCCCCAGACGAAAAGTACCCCAGGACACCCCTGGGACACCCCCGGGACACTCGGATCAGAGATGCCAGACCGGGCAATTTTTCGACACCCCTCGCCAGGATCGTGGCCTCCGAGGGGAGGGGCGCACTCGACTACCCCCCCTCCTGACCCAAGAGGTCCCCAAGACTGACCAAGAGGCCCCCGAGACGGCCCCAAAAAGCGCTCCAAGACGCCGATGATGGCCCCAAAACGGCCCAAGAGGCCTCTAAGTGGCCTCCAAGAGGCCTCACAAGAGGGCCCAAGAGGCCCAAATCATAATTGTTACCATGGTTATTGAAGGATGTTGGCCTTGTCGCCTTTTCGGCCATCCGATGCTCCAAGACGGCCCAAGAGGCCCCCAAGAGCGCCCCAAGACGGGCCAAGAGGCTTCCAAGAGGGCCCCAAGAGGGCCCAAGAGGGCCCCGAGACGGCCCCAGAGGCGCCCAAGACGGCCCAAGACGGCCCCAAGAGGGGCCCAAGAGGGGGACCACGAACCGAAAACTCAAGCCTTCCGCCCTAAGAGGGCCCCAGGAGGCCCCGAGAGGCCCCCAAGAGGCCCCCAAGAGGCCCCAAGATGCCGCCAAGAGGCCCCCAAGAGGCCCCCAAGAGGCCCCCAGGAGGCCCAAACGAGGACCGAAAATGCCTCCCAGGCGCCCCCGAATGGCTTCTCGAAAGACCCCAAGAGGCCTCCCACAGAAGCATCTGACGACGACCCTGCTTGGCCCCAAGAGCAACACAAGATGCCAACGAGAGGCTTCCAGCTCCGCCCCTTCCCCTTCCTCCTCCTCCTCCTCCTCCTCCTCTTTCTCCTCCTCCTCCTCCTCCTCCTCCTCCTCTTTCTCCTCCTCCTCCTCCTCCTCCTCCTCCCCCTCCCCCTCCCCCTCCCCCTCCCCTCCTCCTCCTCCTCCTCCTCCTCCTCCTCCCTCCTCCTCCTCCTCCTCCTCCTCCTCCTCCTACTTATCTCCATCCTCCTCCTCTCCTTCTCACCCTCTCCTCCTCCTCCCCTCCCCTTCCCCATCCTCATCTTCCTCCTCCTCCTCCTCGGCGGCGCCACACTGGCCACGGGCCCACGGCGAAGCAGTAGCGATCATTTCCCATATTTTCTGGGGAATCGACGATTCAGTGTGTCTTTGTGTTTCTCTCCTTCCTGAGAGCTGGAGAACCAAAAAACCAAGAATCGCGAGAAGGTCAAACCCAGAGATCGAGAGGGCGAACCCAGAAATTCCGGCAGACCCCAAGCCCAGAATTTCCCCAAGCCGAGGTCGAGAATTTCAGAACCCGAGCCTCTGACTGAAAGCCACACACTGTGAACACCTACAACCTTATAACACGCGTCGGCGACGGACACGTCCACGGCGATGACGACTGGCAACCTCCCGTCTCTGGCAGTGGAGCAGCCCCTCGACGGGGCAGCTTTTTAGCGCGACCCAGACGACGACGCACGCAGCCGCACACCATCAGCCCTATGCCCGAACCCCGAAACCCAAAGACCGAAGCCCTGAACCCTGAGCCGTGCGCCTCAAGATCTGCGCCCTAAGCCCTAGCCCCTAAACCCGAAGCCCTGAACCCAAAGAACCCAAACACCTAATAGCTACGCCCTGAGCCCTAACCTCCGAACCCTGAGACACGCACACTAAACTTAGGTCGGGCATGTCCCCCTACAGGCGGAATTTTGACGAAAACTTCTAAAAAGTCAA